GGCTGTTCGGGGAGGTGCTGTAGCTCTCCCCGGCGCTCCCGGGCCCCGGAGGTGCAAAACACCATTGCCAGACCATGCCTGGCCTTGGCCGTGGACAGCCTCAAGGCCGTCCCTTCAGCTGGAGAAGCCCTGGAGAGCGGGCAGGGCAGCAGCAGCGCTAGGGAGCAGTCATCCTTGTTGGTGGAAACTGTGTTTGCCTTCACGGACTCTTGAGAGGCTGCAGAAAGAGAAAAGAGCATTCTGCAAAGCACCCCTGGCCTTTCCTCCCTCCTTCCCTCCTGTCCCACCTTCGTGTTTTCAGGAACATTTTAATTCTCCTTATTATCTGCATTTGTACTTTGTCCTAAGTCTTCCAATTCCTTGCAAGAGTTTTTTCCCTACTCTCTTTGTTCCTTCTTTCTCTTGTGTCTCAGATCCCACATTTCATGTCCCTTTCTGTTCCTCCCTGTTTTCTTTTTCATAGAGTCCCTTCCATGGAGTACTTCTCCCCAGTTGCCTTGAACAGGATGTCGTTGGAGTTGGCAGGACAGAAGCCAACTGTTCTCACCTACATTAGCCGAGGTGGTCTTAGCTGAGAGGAGAACAGCAGGAGGTTTTGTCACCATGTGTTTTGTCCTGCTGGTACAGTGCAGAGCAGAGGCAAGGCTCAGGCAGGCTCATGGGAAGGAATGCTAGGGGGACTTCTAAGCAGGCCTCTTTTTTGCATGTAAATTGGCTCTTTCAGCATCTTGTGTGATGGTTTTATTCCTGTGTTCCTCCTTGCAATCAGATAATCAGTTCTGTATGGAAAAAAACATGAGGAGAGGGAAAAAAAAGGAGCAAACAAAAACAAGTAGGTGCAGGTGTATTGGGCAGGAAACTCAAATATTTGATTGATTGATCGATCAATTGATTAGTTAGTGCATGGCATCAATCATTGATGTGATGTGTCTTGTCATCACATTTCTGGGAAAAAAAATGAAGATAACACTTATGAACTGAACAGTTAAAACTTACCTAGATAGGTAGTACTTAGGTAAATAGATGGTTTAAACTATGTTAAGAGCTTTTCAGTGATGCTGGTAACCAGAAATACTGTCTTTCAGATTTAATCTTTGTAAGGTTATATATTTGGATACTCTGGCGTCCTAAGAAGAGAAAATAAAATGTCCCTATTTTAGCCTGGGCCGTGCCTTTGGATGCACATCTCTTCCTCCTTCAGATACTTTATTTCAAAGGCAAGAAGCTGGTAACAAGGGTTAAACTGAAGGCTGCTTTTTGGGAGTCATCAGAACTGCCAGCGCGCCCTGCCTGGAGGACAGGATTGCTGGTGTGATGCTGTAGAGTTGTGCATGCCAAAAGCAGCGCCAACCCAACGTGGAAATGCTCAGGACAGTCTCAGGCCGCGTGTGGACATCCCGGGAGTGTGCTGGTGCGGGAGGGGAGCAGTCGCTCCTGGCACGGAGCGAGGCAGCGAGCCGCGCTGCGGGGCCTGCCGCGCCGCGCAAGGCCGTCCTGCAGCGTCGCGCCCCTGGGGCCCCTCGGGCCACGCGGCCAGGGCTTGCTGTGCTGCGTTTTAGCAACCCTGCTTTGCCAAATCAGTTCCAAGGATGGGCATGTGAATATAGTGAATAGCTGAAGCATCACAGTTACGTGTTTACCCCTTTTAGGTTTCATCTACGATACCCTCTAGTCTGGTACCTGTGTCTAAACCGAAGTCGCTCATGTAAATTGTTTGAAAAAGTAGCTGATGCTACCCATGCTGAATTAAAAAAAAAAAAAAAAAAAAAAAAAAAAAAATTCTAATATTACAATTTTTATGCTAAGTTTTCCAAACTTGCTTCAGAAGGTTTTAAAATTAATGCATTGTGTTTTAGAATGTATTTCTACATTCTAAAGTAGCGTCTAAAGTCTGCATTCAAGTAGTACCACTTGACAAAAACTTCTGCGAATACATGTATAAATGTCTGTTCTTTTAAAAAGTCTTTTTTTTTTTTTTTTTCCCTAGGTGATCACTGGAGGCCATTATGATGTTGACTGTCGTTTGGAAGATCCTGATGGCATTGTATTGTACAAAGAGATGAAGAAGCAATATGATAGTTTCACATTTACTGCCTCCAGAAACGGAACGTACAAATTCTGCTTCAGCAATGAATTCTCTACTTTCACACACAAAACTGTGTACTTCGATTTTCAGGTTGGAGAAGATCCTCCTCTGTTTCCTAGTGAAAACAGAGTAACTGCACTTACTCAGGTAAAGCTGTGAAGCCAATTGTTTTTACAGTTCAACTGCACTAGATATATGTGTATCACTACTGAAAATTAAGGGTTGGAGCTTTTTAAAATAAGATGATTTACTGGAAATGTATGTTTTCTGAAAGGTAAGATTTATCGGACGCAGAGCTGAGAAGAAATTACCAAGTTTTTTAGTCTGGGCCAGTGCGTGTGTGTGTATGTGTATATATATATTTAATCAAACTGCCTTTTAATGATGTAGTTCTATTCCTGTGTAAGTGTTTGTTTTAGGAAGTGTAAGGTTTAATGGATCAGGGTTTTCAGAATTTCTGAACTTTGGAGAAAATGGAAAGAAAATCTGAGCAAAGGAAAACCCCAGATGAAGAAAGTCGGTCATACTCAGCTGACTTCTAGCTAACTGTACTTTATAGACACCGAGTGTCTAAACAATATTCTTGGTCCAAACTTACTTTCCTATTTTTCCCCTCCTTTTTCGGATTTTATGGTTTTGCACTACCTCTGGCTAAACTAAATCCATCAAAACTTGAAACTCTTGCTCCATGAGTCCTTATTAATGTTCTTTATATTATAACTGTCACCAAGCCTCCTCTTAAACAACATTTTAAAATGCTGGACATGGACACTCATTTACTGGTCTGGACTCAGAGGTATGAATGCTGCTTCCCAAACTTCCATCAACCTTTGCTCCCTTGAATTTATGCCATGTAAGTTTGCAGTAGCTAAGATCTGTAAAAAGTAGGTGATCTGCTGTGAATTCAGTTCAGATCTTACCTCTTCTTGACACTCTCCTCTGCTCTTTGTCTTTCAATTTCTGTTTCCTTAGCTCCTCATCTTAACTGTTGTTTCTTTAACAGTCCTCATTCTGTGCTTTGCTGAATGGTGCTCTTGTTTTGTTGTGTTTTGAGTCTTTTTCTGGTTGGTTAATTTTCTTTTTTTTTTTTTCTTCTACCTTGATATTAGTAGAGGGAGTTTTGAGAAGACAAGTGCAAATCTTTTGGGAAGGGATAATGTAATTGTTGTATAATTATTGTATAATCATTAGTATCATTGCTAAGCAAGTGCTTGATGCAGTTTTCTTGTAGTATGATTAAATTTGAGGCAGACGTTTGCGAGGACTGTAAAACATAAATCCGTGACACCAGGCTGGCTTCATATGAGTTTTGAAGGATTCCTGTTTCAGAGTAGGACTCTGATTTGTTGGTGAGATCGATGGCATGTCTAGAAATTCAGGAAGAGATTTTCTTCAGCGTCTTAGGCATGTTCAAACATCTTACTTTAAAGTTGGTAACGTTAAAGTGAAACCTGGCATAAATACAAGTAAAATAAATGACTGAGACACCTTATTAGGATGTCACACACTCCCTTTTCAGGAAATACTGCTTTTAGTACGTATCTAACTGTAAGTGGTTAGAACTTCAGTATTTTGAAGATATATTTTTGAATTTCTTGGTGCTCAAAACAGGCAGTGATGGATGCTGACTTAGATGAAGTGAAAATGGAAAAAGTACATGAAAAATTATCTAGGGCTTGGAAAGCTGGAAGTTTGTAGAGATATAAAAGGTTATTTTCTCAGTTTAGAAAGTGAGATGTGATTCTTATGAAATATGACAAAATGGAGTTAGACATTCGTTTTTTTTTTCTTGAGTATTTATTATCTGATGTGGTTGGGAGCATCCAATAATGCTAAAAGATACTGTCCGAAATGTGCTTTATCTAATCACTTTTTATAAAATACGTGACTAAAAGAAGAGTTTTTTGCCAAAGGATCATGTTGATGTCTGTAGTCTAGACTTCAGGATTTTGTAAAACCTTGAGTTTAAGTGAGAATAATGTGGGAAGGATTGTCATACTTGCATTATGTACTTTCACTTGCATGAATATTTCACTTGCATGCATCTCTTAATGATACAAATTACTTAGTAGCTACCTAAATCTGGGAAGAGACTCACTGCTTGTTGGCTAGCTTATAGAGAGTTAACAAATGGGGTATCGCAGATATATTTCAATATATCTGTGATATATTCTTATATTCCCTTTTGAATGTAAGCATGTATGAATCTATATCTCCTTGTGGATTTTAGTGCATCACTTTTTATTAGATCTGCAGTTTTACATGCTTCTGTACTTAAGTCATCACATTCACAGGTGTGGAATTTGATTAATAAAGTTAAATTTAATAATCATTCTGATAGCAGACTGATTATGAGTCTGCAAAGCTGTGTGAATCCTAGTTTTAAGCATGGAATGGCAGAATGTGGTGGGTCGGTTTTTTGAAGGTTCCTTGCTCAGAGCTGTGTTTGTTTTCCTCTCCAGATGGAGTCTGCCTGTGTGTCCATTCATGAAGCTCTGAAGTCAGTCATCGATTATCAGACTCATTTCCGACTGAGAGAAGCACAAGGCCGCAGCAGAGCGGAGGATCTGAACACCAGAGTGGCCTACTGGTCAGTGGGGGAAGCCATCATCCTTCTGGTCGTGAGCGTCGGGCAGGTGTTTCTCCTCAAAAGCTTCTTCTCAGATAAAAGAACCACGACAACCCGTGTTGGGTCATAACTGGTGGGGATCATGCTTCAGGTCATGGTGTGCTCTTCATCTGTAAAGATGTTACTGTCCTCCAGTTAGTTGTAGGTACAAAGGAACTAAAAATGTGCAACATTTAAATGTGTCTACCCCTCCTCATCCATTAAAATCATAAAACATGCCCACTAAAATAAAGAAGGAGCTCCTAATTGGAAGTAGAAAGAAAGCTTTAAGGTAATGTTTTCTAATGCTTGTATTTAAATACCTAGGAGTGATTGGCCTTTCTTTATTTCTACTAATTTTAATCCAAACTGAGCTTGCCGTTACCAATAACCCATGTGTGGTATAATGCTTTAAAAGAACCCAGTAATCTAGTGTCTGGTAGGGAAGACAATGCATATGAAAAACTGTTTCAATTTTAGTTTTCAGGCTGAATGTATTGGGCTATAAACAAGCAAATGTGATGAACTGTAGTTGCAGAATATTTTATTGCACTGTTTCGATTTGCTGTAACAAAAAAACCCTATATTCTTTGCTTATTTGTACAACTATTGTGAGCTTGACACTAAATCACGGTGCAAATTTTCCACCAGCCTGGTAAGTCTTCACCTTCAAAACCTGCTAAATTTTATACTTGAGTGCATTTGCTTGAACACGCATTCTTCTGCATTAAAATATATTGCATTTCCTCTTTTACAATGTTTGTTTAACTGATCGAACTGTAAGCTGAGACTACTCAGGAAATCCGTTTTCTGTATTCAAAAATCCAAATCTTCAAGTTTATTTTTAGAAAATGCAATAAAACAGGGGATCTTGTAACTTGGTTATTGAAGCTGTACAGTCTCTGTACTCATTTATGCTGCTGCTGCTTTTCATATTTAAGATGAGAGGTAACCTGATTTGTTGAGCAACACAGCACCAGCACTGGACAAAGTTATATTGCATCTCTTAGGCACATACAAAGCTTTTTACTAAATCATTTTCCTATTAAGAGGCCAATATGATATTGATACTGCATTGCACGAGTGCTGTACATTTTATTACCCGGTGTGTGGTGCGTTGATACATTATAGCTTTGTGCATCTAATGGCCACTCTTTTTTTTGCTAGTCGTCAAGAAATATTTTAAATATTTCAGGGTATCTTTTTGGTAGATTTGTAGTTATATTGTTTCCACTGCTCCTGTCTGTAGTAGCTTATGTATTGTGAAGTCTTGTTTTATTTCGATGTGGAAAGTAGTAAATGTATGTACATACAAGTAGCTTGAATTGAGCCAGTCAATATAAGGCTAAACTCCTTCAGGTGGCTCTGGAGGAGTAAATGCCCTCTGACCAATTCTTAAGTGCACACAAGCTAAATTAAATGAAAAACTTTGTGTGTGTTACTGACCTTAATTTAAAAAATGTCACTTAAGCTAGCTTTCAGCAGGCAGAGAGAGAATGCTAAATCCTTATTAATTGCCTGTAGTATTTTCAGAAGAAAAAAAATGGAGAAGTACACATACAGGTGACACTTCGGCATAATTGATGTAAGATGACCTGACTATAACATGTTGTGATAGTTCAAGAAAACAAAACAAACAAACAAACAAAAAAAAAACAAAAGCATTTCTTGTAACTGAACTGATTAGCTGCTCTTTAAGAAACTGAAGTAAAAAGCTTAAAACACTTCATAAGATAATTGAAAGGTCACTGGAGTATTAAAAAGCCTAATGTGTATTAAATTCAGGTTAGGTATAGTGTCCTTCTGTCTTGTTGCAAATTTTAAATATTGCAGTCCCGTTTTGGAGATGCAAGCTCCCCAGAAGGGTACACTCAGAAAAATCCTAGCGGGTACACTCAGAAAAATCCTAGCAGGCTTATGCTTTCTTCTTACGTACCACACAAATCTGAGCCTGCACACTGCTCTCTGTTGCACTTATATGCTTTGCTCTTGTGTGTTTCATCAACTGATTTGCAGGATTTTTTGTGCTTTATTACACACAAAACTGAAACAGATAGGGCAGTTTGGATGCAAATATGGATTAACAACAGGATTTAATTTTAATTAGTGACCACTATAATCTTTTGAAGTTCGAGTGATCACAACAACTCTGATGACAACTGAAGTATTTGCTTTAAAGATGTGAAACGTGATTTCTTTTTTTCCCCGCTAAATTAATTGTTCTGTGGACTGTCAAAAATTGGCAGACAGCAAGGTAGACCAAATAATGGTTGGCCGTCATACACATGACTGTATTTTTTTTTTCCTGATGTTTGAATGTGCAAAGTGGGGCTGTTTAACTCAATATTACTCCCACTGCAGAAGTTTAGTGGACTTGACTTTTGCATTGAAGTTAAGTATCTGAACCAATCTTGTGGTAACTTGCTGCACAATATGCAGCAGTAGATTAAAAATGCCTTTATTTTTGTGTTACTGAAAACATGGCACACGTACACATGTTTAAACATAGCTGTGTATATTTTTTAAAGTAAGTTACTGACTAGGGTATAATAAAACACATGCTAACACTTCAACAGTGGGTGAAGAAATGCTTTTGTGATTTTTTTTTGTGAAAGCCACATCTTATATATATGGAAAAAAAGTTTCCTTTAATAGAATGATGCACAACTAAATCACCCTGCATTAGGTATATAGGATACAGCTGTGTTTTTAAGTTGCAAAAGGCCCTGGGTTTCAGCTATTCCTTGGATGTTTTATGTTTACAGAACTTCTTTGCAAGTCCTGAAATGTCAGTTCTTGTTTTAGCTTGGGGAAACAAAAAGTTTAGTTTGAATAAGACAAAAAGTTTAGTTTGAATAAGACAAAAAGCAGACCCTGTGAATATTGTATGGGAAAATAAAAATTAATATATCAATATGGTCTGGTTGTTTTGTTTGCATCTGGTGGGGGAGCATTTTTCTTCCAAAAAGGCTATGAATAACAGTTTGAGAAATTGACATGTATCCTAACATGTTACTAACAAAAATGCAGATCTGCATGACATGCGATCGTTATTTCTGTGGCAGTGAGGAGGGCCCCACTTCCCTGCTGTTCCCAATTATTTGTGCTTTCCAGTCACTGGAAGAAAACCCTCAAGTCTGAGTGTAATGGTGTGGCCCCTGGCTCTTTGAAGGGCCTGCAGTAATACTTACAAGCCTGTTCCTGTTGGGGCAGAAATCAGAGCATTTCCCCTCTGATGACAGGAATGATGTGGAATCTGCTGCAACTGCTGATGTTAATTTTGTAGATACGAGGTTAATACAGGCCAAACCAGTAACATACATCTAAATAATGATGTCTAATGGTGGCATATAGCTTTAAGTAATACTTGCAGCAGCTTAATTTGTGACGAGGTATTTTATAATATGTAGCTTATGTTGAGTGCCAGAGCATGTCACTTGGGCACATTTTAAGTTTTCAAAATATGGT